CAGCTTTTTTGAGTTAAAATAAGCTGTTAGAATCAGAAGCTGTTTGAAATAAGTTTAACCAAACAGTCCAAAATAATTTTTTCAAAGCTAAAAGTCATAAGTTGGCTCTGAAAAGCTGAAACAAACACCCCCAATAATTTTTTTTTTTTTTAAAAAAAAATTAATTTCTTTTTTTTTTTTTTTTCCTCCCTCGCCTCATTTTCTTATACTTCCCGAATTTGTTTCATGGGCTTCATCTTTATAGCTCTCTTTTATTTACAGTCCTCTATTACCTCATCAATTTAAAAATAAAATTAAATTAAATAGCCCCTTCATTATTTCATTTATTTACCTTATTTTTATATTTCTCCAAATTCTTTTAGAGCTTCCCTCGGTTCAGCTTTTCTGTTTACAACCTATAAATCATAAAACAATACAACTCCATAACTCGCAATACAATACTAAAATTTTGCCAAATAGCTCTCCGATATTTATTCTAACAGTTCTTTTTTATTCAGCATACACTTCTCCATTATTCGTTGTTAATTACTTTCCAGCATTTTCTCTTTTTACCTAATTAACATTTTATTATAGACCTCTCCATTTCTCCAAAACACAACTTTTTTTTTTTTGATCTGCCTCTTGCTAAATAAATAAATAAATAAATAAAAATACAAAAAAAATAAAAATAAATAAATAACAAAACAATATTTTTACTTCGTGGCTCACCTCTGTTTTTCAAAAAGCCTCCTATTTTTCCACAAAACAACACTATATATATATATATATGAATCTATATATGAAACCATACATCAAATTCCACTGAGAAATACACATACCTCTCAAGCCCGCAGCAGCGTCAATCGCGATGAGCTACGCGAGTGCTCGCGGATCTTCTTCTTCCCCTTCCTAGTTCGTTGCTCAGGATTCACCCATAGCAATTTCCCTTAGAAACCCAACTTTACCGAATCACAAGATCGAACCCAGCCCCTTTTCTGCCGATGGCTCACACACAGGTTCTTCAATCAAGTCCCAAACAGAATCCAGCCCTAGCAGCATTAGAACTCAACTTCCGATAGCCCAACCAATTGCTTCGCAGCCCATCCACGACACAACACTTCTTTTCCCTCCTCTATCTCCCTGCCCGACTCGTCCCTTTACCCTTTCGCGACTTCGAAGTTTGGTTCCCCAACCTGCAACCAACTACACAAAAATCTAGCCCCTCACCATTCGATCCCGTAACAACGGTGGGAGAAAAGCCATGATGCCTTCGTACCACACAGACGCTGTCGGGTCTCACTTTGGAGCTCGCCGGCGGCAACCCTTTCCCTCCTTCGTCGCTGTCAACCTTCCTCTCCCAACTGTATTCTGGATCCTCTAGTCTTTCCCACTAAGTTGAATTCTAGGTTTTTTAGAAAGAGAACAGAAATGTCTACCCAAACACAAACTTTCCTAGCCCCTCCCTTAATGGTATAAGAAACCCAGCTACGGGTAACCAAATCCATCACACACCCTTATGTACAATGGGTAAAAGGAACAAACAGAGATCCTGATTCAAAAAAAATAATAATAATAATAATAAAAAAAATAAAAATGTATATATATCTATATATATCTGTATATATAAAGTCCTTATTTTTCTAAAACGACAAGCTCACTTTTGGGAATGGTTCCAACAAGTTCAAGCTATACCCAAAATATACACAATCTTTTACGTGGCAATAATGCAACGTTCAAGCAGGGCGAGAAGTTCAAAAAAAAAAAAAAAAAAAGATAAAAGATTTTATATACATATGTACCTTCCCAAGGAAAATCTTTAAACCAATCAAAAATTCTCTTTGCCTGTTACAAATATTAAAAGCAGACTGCAACAACCTTAGACTTTTCAAACAAAACGCTCAAGCTATCGCACGCTACCAAGCAGCTCCAAATCAGCTACTATTAGTAGTCTACTCTAAACCTATAGTCCAATTAATGAGTCTCCATAGATCGCTCTCTCCCAACAAAAAGCTGCAAAAGTCAATGAATTCACCCCCTCTTCCCCGTCTTTATAAGAGAGCACAAATGCAGGACAACAACAGACAAAAAAAAAAAACGCGAGCAAATTCATATCTAATTGCTAACACTCTCCTTTCAACCCATCCTCTCTAAATGGCTTCCGGAGGCCAGAGGCACCGAGATAACACCGTTTGGTGGCCGGTGAACAAGGCTCCAAACCCAAGAGGCCCAAGCTATAGAGCTTCAAGCTCCAGCTCTAAAGTTTCGAGCTCCACTCCCACTCACCGCCGCCCTGTGTGTGAGTTTTTTCGAAAGATGCTCTCCATGGCAATTCGAAGATGAACTATTCGAATCCCCTTGGATCCAACACCCAATATCTGCTCATACAGTAGTAGAGGTGCCGGAAGAATTCTGGGGTAAAATAAGAGGATGGTACAAGGCACTAACCATTCCAGAACTTTACACATTACCACTGTCCCATACTTGGTTTTTGCTAAACCAAGAAATCAACCTCACTCTCCAGGGATCCACCTGCCAGGCAAATCAGGTTTTAGTCCCACATTTCGAGAGGATCCGTATCAACATCCTCTCACAAAGACCGACAGAGAGAGATTTAGACCACCACATCTCCATCATGTCAGCGCCATTGGTAAACCCAGATGAAGATTTGGGACTTGGATGGGACATAGAGAGCCTTGCAGATCTCGACATAGGAGAAAAGAGCGTTTTTCGTAGTGCCCAGCCAAACATCCCACTCAATATTCCACTTAACATCCTCTTCTTCAACACTGAGGGTGTCGCTCGCCCCAACTTCCTCCAACACTACATGCACCTACACTCGAGTAGACGCTTCTACCTCGTCATCATCACAAACACAAAAAAAGAAGGAAGCGAGGCCCAGTTCATGAGCCAAATCATGGGCTTTCCTAACACCAAGACCATTGCCCCCCCTCCTAGCGGTATGGAAAGGGTGAGAGGCGGAATCTGGTGCCTATGGAATGAAGCCAAAATCTCCTGTGAAGTAGTGGAAATTCCCCGGAATCAAGCCATCGCCCAACAAGCCCACATCTTTATCCAGCCGGCTCGCACCGGATGAAATTTAAAATGTAAACTCTCCGTGAGCAATCCAAATGCCCTCATTATATCAAAAGCTTAATTTTAGATGGCTTTATCTGAATACTTGTCTGCATGAGTTAATATTTTTCAAAACTTTTTAACATAATCATGTACAAATACTCTCATCAGCTATAAGGGTATCTGTACAGGGGGGCATTATTGTGGGTACTTGTATCAAGCTCAATACGTGGCAAGCCCTACAGGTGCCACATCACCAAAACCCCACCCACGTGGCAGATCAATAAGGCACCACGTCGGGCATGTCGTATGTTTACTACATGGCGAGCCCTACGGGCGTCATGTGCCAAGGCAACCAAAACTATATGCTTAGCCTAAGCGGGAGCATATATACAAGCCCAAATATATCTAGATATGAAGAGCCCTGCAACAGGCAGCACCATGGCCCTGCAGGGTCCATGGTCCTTCATACCTCGCTCCAAGACCAAACAACAATACAATCAGCCTCCTGTTCACTTGGATTTGGATTGATAAACACTGGCTCTCCTAAACATTGAAATAAGCCTGCGGCCCATCCTCCTACTTGGTCGCCTGGAAGCGAGCCCTTGGCTCTCCTAAACACTAAGGTGGGCCGTAGCCCATTCACCTACTTGGATGCCTGGGTTGGGAGCAGGACCCAGGCACTACTGCTCGGGATCATCAGAGGATACTGGACTGGCGGCTGAGGTCATGGGATCGTCAAGATAGTTGTCTTTTTGCTAAGACAACTCTATCTCGACCAGGCTTGGAGAAGAGGCAACAATGACCTTACGTTCATGTTATCCGATGCATATACGAAACGTTACTTTCTGCCTGCCACGAAATGTTGCTCTCCGCCTGCCGGCAAGCCACAGACGGCAGAAGGGCATATATCACTTCTGGCAGAGTTGAGGAAAACGAGCCACCTGTCCAACAGTTTGCTTGGGCTCCAATACTCCAGCGGCCTATATAACGTATCGTATATGCAGCGAGACACAACAACAACAATACAACCAAGTTCCATGCTAAAACACTCCCTCATACTTTATATTAGTGTTCAAAGGTCTATCACTGCCAACCTCTCCCTCTCCAAGCTTGCCTTGACCTCCTCCTCTCCACCTCCGGTGATCCCAAGCCATCGAAGTGCCCGCCATCTTCCCGGACTACCTCTAACCACACCTCTCACCCACACTATACTCTACTGGGAGATCTTTGCAAACCAAGGTTGGGCCGGGACAGCATGAGGTAGACTTTCACAAAAGGCTGTGGGACTAAATAGGTCACACCTTTTTCAAAGAGGACTTCTTGGTAATTTTTCCAAAATTATTAGATATTTTTAGAGTATTAGATATTTTTCCAAAATTACTTCTTGGTAATTTATGTTATACTTTTGATCAATGAAAAACAACCGTAACATACTAACTGAGTTATTCTCAGACTCCTAACTACCTAATAAAGATAAACCATGGAATCCCACTTATAAAAATTTTTACTACATAATTAATTTAACTACTAAACAAATTACTCCTTTGTTTGGTGTCCAAAATATGTTTGTTTGAGAGAGGGTGTCGGATTTAGGGTTTAATCAAAGAAAAGAGGTGAAAAAGTGATGTTTTAGACGCTGCTGTCCGCTGATATAAAACACGCTCGCTCGAGCGAAGGATTGGTCGCTCGAGCGACCAGACACAGAAAACTCTCGCTCGAGCCAAGAAGTTCTCGATCGAGCGAAGAAAAACCCAGACCGCTCGAGCCACGAAAAGCTCGCTCGAGCCAGAAACTACAACTCTCAGGTCCAGAACCGGGGCAACACTACTCTCGCTCGAGCGACAAACTCCTCGCTCGAGCGAAGGACCAAAAATCTGGGCAGCAACACTAGGCTCCCAAGCACAACAAACCTGTAACAAACCTGCCCAACACATCCCATACTCAATATACAAAGTAAAAGGGATGCAAACAAAATAATAAACAACATCCAACATCCACGGACACATGTCCGGATCACTGTACAACAAGGGTAAACCCGGGATCGCTATAAATTTCAGTCAAAGTTTGATGAGGTAGTAACTTTGAGAGTAAACATTTCAGTCTCCTTTGGTTTCAGTAAAAAATTGAATGAAACACAATTTGATATAAGTTTAGCTGAAGGAGTAAACGATTGATTTTCATGCAAATTTGAATTTGATAGAAGTTTGAGTTAAGAATTGGAGATGTGTAACAGACAATTTTATTATTCGTATATAAATTACATAATTACAAAAAATTATAAAATGTATTTGCCTATTTGATAAATGAGAGAACACATTGTTGTGAGACTTTAGTGTGTTTTTAAGCAAAATGGATGGGAAATAGTCCCCACATGAAGAGAGACTTCTCATTGAAGCATATGGTCTTCTTTTCATTTTTAAATTTTACTACGTATTAGAGACCCTTTTAAATTTGAAAC